AACTATCACAGAGGTCTTTTCTTATAATAACAACTATTGTAGGTTGTATAGTTGCTGGTAGATACTTTTTGTAACCAGGCTAGTTGTTTTCCCCCCAGTCTTCTTACTAAGCTAAGCTAACAAACTGCTAGGTAAATACTGAACAAACAGCTATAACAGTGGTACCGAGCTTTTCATCCAGCTCTAAGTAAGAAAGTGACTAATCTGCCTTCCCAAATGTTGAACTGTTTATTTAAAATAAGGTTAGGGTGAAGCATCAAAAACTCCAAGATTAAAGTGAAAATATCCTCACATCCAGGTTGAGAAGTAAAACACAAATTAATATGTAAAATAAAGCATAAAAGTCTGTTTTGTTGACTCTCCTCTCGTGTGTATGCAGGTATCTTGTGGAACCTTTCCTCCAAAGACAACCTGAAGGAGAAACTGGCCAAGGAGACCCTCCCAGAGCTGACGGAGAACATCCTCATCCCTATGTCAGGCAAAGACACTGATGGCTACCAGCAGACGGCCTCTGAGGCAGACATTTTCTACAACACCACAGGATGCCTCAGGTACACCTCACCTATTTGTGTCTTCTCTGTGTGGTTGCAGCATGCTCCTTTGATTAAGATGTATTTCTTCCTGGCTCACCTGGGTTTGATTTCCTTCCCATGAACACATTTTCTGTATGGGAACTTGTTCTGGTAGTGCACGCCAACTCACTGGCTCCGGGCTAGTGGAGCTTCTACCACACCCATTTATTTTCACAGTTGTGTGTGAAAGCCTGCGCCACTCCAGGCCCCCGGCGCTTTGACTCTGTTTATGTGCATGCTGAAGAGTTTTTAATCTCTAAACTCATTTTCATTTTGTCAATATTTGGCTGGGTTAAGACCTGAGCAATACATAGATATTATATTGATGGTGTGATATTAGACTAGATATCATCTTAGATTTTTGAAATTGTAATATTTCATAAGTGTTTTCGTTTCCTGGTTTTAAAAGCTGCATTACAGTAGAGTGATGTATTTGTATAACTTGTATTATTTGTCTGTAACCCTTAAGTGAATAGACCCACAATACTAATGATTGATTATCAAAACAACATTTCTGTTAATATTTTTATGAGATCATTAATAGTAAAGCCAACAATATTGTCAAAATATCAATATAATGTTTTGTAGAAAATATTGTGATATTTGATTTATACCAGCCCAGTTTGTTAAAAATAATATGATGCATGATATCTGGATTTTACCTAAAATATCTCTCTGACCCCTCTCTTTGCTCAGGAATATGAGCTCTGTGAACAAGAACACCCGTCAGCAGATGAGAGAACAATCCGGACTGGTGGACTCTTTGGTCTGCTACATCAAGAACTCCCTCGAGGACAGCAAGGCAGAAGACAAGGTGAGATCAAACGAGATGGAGCTGAATTGAATCCGTTTTTTTTGGTTCAACCCAAGGATTGTGTATTTATTTGTCTGTGTGTTCTTAGGGGGTGGAAAATGCAATGTGTGTCTTGAGGAACCTCTCCTACCAGCTGTACAGCGAGATCTCTCCAACTACTCTGATGCGCCTGGAAGGACCAACTAGAGCTCAGGGCTCAGGAAAGGGCGACGCCATTGGTTGCTATACACCTCAGGGACGGAAAGCCAAAAATGTACGCACACGTGAGATTTACCCATCAGCATTTTGTGTGCATGTTAGGTCTGCTCCTTTGTAGTCAACTAATAGGTTGTACTTTTTTCATGGTGAACTCATTATTTCCAATCCTTACTTATGAGCACATTTTTGGTCAACACAACATTTAAAGTGGTGCTATGGCATGATTCTTTGTGGAGAATACCAATTTTACCAATTGGTCAATTAAAATGTTCCCCACAGAGAAAGAACCAGGACATCTCCACTTTCACCGAGGTGGCCCGGGTGCCAAAAGGCGCAGAGTGGCTGTGGCATCCACAGATTGTGGGCGTTTATAACCGTGTGCTGCAAGACTGCGAGATCAACTCTACCACCCGCGAGGCGGCTGCTGGAGCTCTTCAGAACATCACCGCTGGAGACAACAGGGTGAGAAGCATATTCATCTTGCCATATTCAAATGCAACAATCTACATCATATTTAAACTGTCTCTCCCTCTTTGTCCCGCAGTGGGCGTCAGTGCTGAGCCTGGTGGCTCTGGAGCAGGAGCGCATCCTGCCGCAGGTGCAGAACCGCATGCAGACCACCAATGACCTGGAGCTGCGATCCCTCTCAGGCTTCTTACGAAATCTGTCCCGCCATGCCAGGGATAAGAATGACATGGGTCAGTTTTTTTTCTTAAGTTATTGAAAAAGCCTACATTTAAAAAAAATAACAATTTACCATTTTTAACCAAACTCTTGAACATTAGAAGAAAAGTGTGAGTCCTTAACAGGAAGTTGATTGTAAATATAGGTTTCCAACGAATAATCTAACATTACTTATTGGTTTATCCAGCCTCAAAGGTGGTGAACAACTTGGTGACCAAGCTGCCTGACGATGGGAACCAGAAGGACCCCTCTAACGATGTGGTGGTGAACATCTGTGGAGTTCTCAATAACTTGGTGACCAGCAGCTCTATAGCTGCCAGAGACATCACATACTTTGACGGCCTGCCAAAACTTATCGGCATCAAGACCATGGCGGGCACCTGCAGGTAAGATTTTGTAATGTGGCATAAACATGCTGTATTGAATAAATGTGTTCTCACCCTGACATTTCTCCATCCGCATGACATTTGCATGTTGAATGTTGCATGAAATATTTCAGCCCGTCTTCTCACATAAAGTTATTTGTACCAAGTGTTAACCTTGGATAAATCTGTTTTTTCCTAGCACGGGGAGGATGAAAGCAGCCAAAGCAGCATCAACAGTTCTCAGCAACATGTTCCAGTACAAGAAACTGCACAAAAGCTACAAAGAGGTAAGATAGTAAGATAGTAAACAGGAGCTCTGCATGATTAATGATTTCCCCTCCAAAAAACTGAGGGATAATCAATAACATATTAGAGATAATGCATCAGTTATGATTTTTTTTTCTAACAGTCTATTAAGAGTTTAGGCAGAGTTTTTAAGTGTTATTCAAATCCATTCAGATGCCACAAAACAATAAAATCACTCAACAAGATTTTAAACATTAATACATGTAATGAAGTAACAAGAGGTCCGATTATGTTTGTCGACTGACGAACAATAGTCACTGAACCACACCCTCATTCTTGTGTGTGTGTGTGTGTGTGTGTGTGTGTGTGTGTGTGTGTGTGTGTGTGTGTGTGTGTGTGTGTGTGTGTGTGTGTGTGTGTGTGTGTGTGTGTGTGTGTGTGTGTGTGTGTGTGTGTGTGTGTGTGTGTGTGTGTGTGTGTGTGTGTGTGTGTGTGTGTGTGTGTGTGTGTGTGTGTGTGTGTGTGTGTGGTGTGTGTGTGTGTGGTGTGTGTGTGTGTGTGTGTGTGTGTGTGTGTGTGTGTGTGTGTGTGTGTGTGTGTGTGTGTGTGTGTGTGTGTGTGTGTGTGTGTGTGTGTGTGTGTGTGTGTGTGTGTGCCTATGTACATTCCTCTCTATTCATGTTTTACATGACATGTTAGTAACTATTGTTTCCCTCAATAGTTGGGTGACACATGTTCAAAACCATTTTTTTTGTCTCTGACTGCTCACACTGCTTATCTTTCAACACCGACACACACACAGCCACTCGGGCGTGTCTTGGGCAGGGCCAGGTGCCCTACATGTTCTGACTTTTGCAGATTCCAACTTGCCCCTCCCAAAGGGTGCGGTGTGCAGATTTATTTCCTAACAAACAGGTCCCAACAGAACCAAAAATGCATTAAAGCTTGTCTTGTACGTAGGCAAACATCAGACTATTTGACTATTGTGCTATAACGTGAGTTCTGAGGTAACTTACGCTAAGATACGGTACGATGTACTTTATTGATCCTAAATTGGGACATGTTTTTGTAACAGCAGCATTGGCAACAAGGCATTGGTCATACTTTTTTTAAATCTATAAATAGTAGTAAATAAACAAACGTAAAATATAAACAACTCAAAATAGAAATTAAACAGAACTAAAAATGTAAATACAAGTTGACCATGAAAAATACAAATCCGTAGACTGTCAAATAAACACTATGAAGGGCCAAATTACAGCTAACACATTTTAAAGTAGGGTATTAACTTCAGGTCAATTCTAAAAATCAAGGGAGCTGTTACAGAGGTGTACTGTGTGGTATTTGAATACGTTCTATAATGTAAATAAACACAATATGTGTTTATGTATTCGTTATAACATTGTCTTGTTTGTTTCTCTGTGTTACAGAAAGGGTATGCGAGACAAGATTTTGTAGATATGATGATCTAAAACAAAAGGCAGTGGTGAAGAGGCCTGCTCTCCACCAGCCCCCAGTGGAGCAAAGAGACTGTTTGTACTATTCAAAGATACTTTTTTAGGATGAGAACATGGACACACAAGTGATGGAGGATCTACACAGAGGAAAACAACTTCCTGTGTATTTTCTTTACTCAACAGACCGTTCAAGATCCGGCACGACTACCTTAACCATTTACTCTTTTTGTTTAAACACTGTATGTTTTAGTGTGGAATCAGGGATTTATTTTTTTCAGAGCAACATTTATTCAGATATAATTTCAGCTGTTTTCTTTTGCGGATGACAACTGTTGATGGACCGCTCACTGTCGCACCTCCAGCACAGAATGAATGGATTGAAGTGTGGTACAAACATACTGTTCTTGTAAATATTGCTTCTTCTTTTACAAAGAAATCAAATGTTTTATACTTTGCACCTACACTATGTACTTAGTTTTTTTAGTTTAAGGATGGATAAATGTGTTTATAAATGAGTCAATATTATAACATGGTTATAATTGAATGTAAGCCACAGAGATTTATAGCAAATTGGATGTTAATACTTATGATTAAGAAATCTAGGAATAATGAATGTATCTCCAAAGTTGACTTTTGTGTTTAGTTATGTGCTTTTTAAAATTGCAAAATCGCAGTCATGTCATACATTTGTAGTTGTTTTGTCAAACACAATTCATAGTTTCATTATGTCTGTTTATGTTTCTTCATTAGCCCGTTTGCGTACTTTATTAAGTGGTGTGAGTGTACAAAGAATACAGTGCTCACTTTATTTCAAAACATATCATATGGTGATAATGATGTTTTGTTTTTGAGGTGTTATAGCAAAATCTAACTCGGAACCCAGACCTCATTGAAACTCATAAATTGGCAAGTAGGATATTCTAATTAAATGTGTAATTGTTCATACAAAGATTTTTGTTCAAAACTTACATTTTTAATAATATTTATTGCTCTGGCATAAATGGTTTCCCTTTTAGTTTGTAGGATTTCTAACTGCTTTAAGATTTGCTTTTGTTGTGTACAGGCAGATGTATCATCATGATATTTTTCATCTAATAAAGAGACCGATTTGAAATGTCATTTATTAAGTGTGTCTTATTTGTGTGTGTGCTGCACACTCTCGCTGTGACTGTAATAAAGGGACACTATCACGATGAAATGCCCGCCACTCCCTGTTTACATATTTGCTCCTGCTCAGACAAGAACAGCACCAGACCTGCCCTGCTGCACCCTTATTCAGGCTCTCATTTCACTGCAGGTACTGCTATCATCACCCCATGAAGACAGAGATCATGATCCCAAAAGAGAGAAATAGCCAGGTATTTTGTCAAACTGCTTTATTAGCATTATTGCTGCGTTGTTAGTGTTTTTACATTAAACAAACAAAGCTCCCATATGTACAGAAATGTTACGAGTTCATCGGTCATGAGCATTGCCCTGCCTCACGTGCACAAACAGATGTCCGGAGTTATAATTTAAGACTGTTACATTTATTGTTTCTCTTTCCCAATCCGTCAACTGTCATATTTTGAAATACTGCTTGAAAAGCTAAATCCCTTCAATCTATCTGACAGCCCTCTGCCCTCTGCTGGGGACTTCATGAGAGATCAAAGCAGTGAAATGACAGTTCTTTCCCTGATTCACACAAATACAGCAGATAATAACTTGTACAATTTCTCATTAGATATTTTACAACAGTAAACAAAAATATAAAAAATGTAAAAATCAATCTTTGGTAAATAGAAAAAACAAGGTAAAAGAAGTTAACCATTTGATTTAACACAACACTGTAAAAGACACACATATATCCCATATTGACTTGGGTAACAATAAAGCAATGCATCAGTAGAGTCGTTTTTAAGAGATCAGTGGGGGGGTTTCGATCAGATGTCATCCTCAGTGACTAGGCAGTAGAAGTCTGAGCGCGCTCCATAGTTGCGTGTTCCCAGGTCCGACACGTCGATGTCCGTGGGTCTGGGCTCGGCGGACGGGATGTGAGCGACGGGCAGGACGGGAGCTTTAGAGGCCAGAGCCTTGTATAGCGGGGGGCGAAGGCCTGCAGCAGGAAGACAAGAGTGAGACATGCTAATGCAAAGTACACATTTGCGGAAATGCTGTCATGTTAGGGCTGTTTCATTCTTTTGTTTTAAGACATCAAATGCGTAGTTTAACATCTGGTGACATTTTTGCTTTCTTGCCAAGAGGAAGATAACATTGTTGATATCAGTTTCACATTGGTGAATCAACAACTGCTGTTAATTTAGCTTAGCATACATAGTAGAAACAGGGGGAAATAGCTAGCCTGGCTATGCACAAAGATAAATAAATGTATCAACCAGCATCTCCAGCAGTGCAAAAACTTCAGGTTGTAGTATACATGGGGTTTGGTGACTGACTAATAGTTATTGAGAAGCTTTTTTTAAATGTTTTAGTCACCTTGAGACAACCTTTAGTCTAAACCATTATGTTTTTAAAACAATTAAGAAAGAAAAGATCTTGGGTGTAGATTTGTGAGCTTCAGACAGAGATAGGCTAGGTATTTGACCCTGTTTCCAGTTAATGTGCTAAGATAACTGACTGTAGTTTCACATTTAGGTAAAGTATAAAAGTTGAACTAATCTATTCATCAAGAATCTCGGCAACTATGCTAATACTGAGCTATTCCTTTGACATGAAAGCATTTGTCTCATATCGGCTTGGAATGTCCTGATATGATACAGGACAGACAAACTGTTAAAGAGAATATGTGCAAGCTCATCATGTCGAAGGATTTTGTTTATTTTAGTTAAAGATGAACTGTTGAATCTGTGTTTGATTATTCAAACTAGGTCAGCTTGTATTGCATGTTGAAAAAGACAAAAGAGACTCTGTCAGGTTGAGACTTGAATATAGGCCATTACGTTTGATATTTGAATCGCTATTCAAGAAAAAGTACATGACAACCAACTAGTGTTAACACCTCTGGATCACTACCAGATGGTTGTTAAACACGAATAAACCTGCTTTAGCATGTTGTGGCATTTTTAATTACAACAGTCACCTGGCACTTTTACTTTTATGTGCAGATAGAGGTAAGACTATTCCAAACTTAATAGTGACTGTTGTTCTTACCCAGATCTCCAGCAGGGTCAGTGTCTGAATAGGAGTCCCGGTAGTTGGAGTCGAGGGTCAGCATGGGGTCCTTGTCATTGTGTAGCAAAGTCTGCGGTTCGCAGGCAGACGAGCTGCGGAAGACGACTCTACGAGGCATCGCTAAGGCCAGCTCCTTCCAGAAGACGGAGGAAGGAGTCTGTGGAAACCAAACATGACACGTTACACTGCGCTGTTAAGAGTCAAACTGAACTGTAGTCTCACCTGTAGAAGCCCTATTCCATTATATATAGTATAGACATATCTTTAATTGCGTAGATGTAAATGGCCGGTAAAGAGTAGAACACAAATATAATTAAAGAGGTTTTTTTCTTGTACTCATATTGCTGTCATTTTTGCTAAAATATAATGTATCTCTATTATTTTTGTAAAAAGTGAAACACAATTCTGTTTAAAGTAAGTCCTATAGTATTTTGGTGGTAATTGATCGCTCTGCTAGGTACTCTTGTGGGTCTTACCACAGAGTTGTGCTTCCAGGTGAGGACGGTGAGGCAGTGCTGGTGATCATTGAGCAGCTGCTTGATCTCAGGCCTCATGCGTTTGGACTGACCCTCCAACAGGATGAGGATGGGCTGCGGACACAACTCCAACAGGTGCAGAAGACCCTGTCTGAAAACACACACACACACACACACACCGTGTCAGGATAGGACATAGTGGAGACAGCAACACTGACCTCAAGTGGTATATTGTGATGATGCCACACTCATTTTACTAAGCTTTATTCTGTATATATTATTGGTTGTTTGAACAGTGTTAGTTCAACATTGAATTCATGTGACCTGAAGTTATTGCAGCACCAGTCCTGCTCGAGGTAAGCATGAGAGAGCAACACGATCAGACGCCGAGAGCGACTCAAGTTCATCAGCAGCTCTGCAGACGGTTCTGGAGACACAAAATATTGTAGAGCGTTGTTAAAAATGGGCTGCTTTAGGTTCAAATGTGTTACCAAGGAATGTGCTACTAAAGAAAAAAAGTGCTTACACACAGATAACAAATAGTCAGACAAATCATTGCTGTTTACAAATTGTTATGGCATTTGTTGTTTTTAGATTATTTAGATTAACATGAGAAAATGGACTCATGGTTGCAAATTGCAACAGAGAATAGAATAGAATAGAATCGGAGGGATGAAACCCCTCTTTAATGGTCACACATGCAGAGCACACAGCACACACAGTGACATGTGTTCTCTGCATTTAACCCATCCGAGTACCAGGAGTCTAGTACTAGGAGCAGTGGGCAGCTATTGTACAGCGCCCGGGGAGCAATGGGAGTGGGGGGGAAGGGGGTTGTCCAGTGCCTTGCTCAAGGGCATATTGGGTGAAAGGGGCCCCAGAATAACTCGTAGCAACGGGTTCAGAAGGATCTGAACATTCTTGACTGTTAAGAGAACAAAAACTAGTTAAAAGAGAGTCCACATTTCCCACTCTCCCATTAATTCCACAACAACAACAGACATTAGGCTTACCTGAGCCAGGTAGGATAGCGTTGTCATTGAGGTGCACTTTGTACACATTTTTATTCTCCAGGTGAGGTTTAAGAATGAAGTTGACAAACTTCCTGTCGTGGTCATTGTTCACATAGGAGATGTAGGCATCAAATAATTTGCCATCTGAAGAGACACAAAAAAACAAACCAATGATGTTGATACTTTATATTCTTACAGTCTCACATGGTTATAGCAACATTATGTCACTTACCACTGAGTTCATAGTCTCCGTAGGAATTCTTGTACCAGAGTTTGATGTTCAGGTGACACCTGGAGTACACAACAGCAGCGACAGCCAGGAGCAGGAGGAGGACGATGGCTGCCAAAACAGCAAATATGTGGTTGGGGCCGTGGGGCCAACCGCATGAAATAATGTGGCCTATGGAAAAATCCCAATAAACCAATACTTTCATTCAAATTGATCATCGCAAACTGCAGAATATGAATTCCGTCAGTGGAGTGTGACTGTAAGACTGATTCCTAAAACAATTAAGTGCTATACTCAATATTAATGTAGGGCTGAAACCAAGACACATTTTCCTGCAGAACATTGAAGTTTATTTGATCTAAAGAGTGTATCTAAAGATGCAGGACGGATTGTAAGAAACCAACATAAATAAGTAGTTTTCTTACCCTCTTCCGAAACTCTAAATAGAGAGGAATAGTTCCTCACTGTGCAGATGTACAGCCCAAAATCCTCCTGCACCAGGTTGATCTCCAGCAGACTGGTTACCATCAGCTGGCCGGCTGCAGGAGACCTGATGAGATGGAAAGGAAACTCAATCTTACTTCCACTCTCAAATGCTTTTTTTATGAAGATGCTTGAACCTGACTTTAAAAAACTTCAAATCACCATGAGGCATTCAGCGCGTAATATATGTGATTGGGGAGGGGAAAGTGATCTTTACTCCACTGCAGCGCGGTGTCACAGTGCTCCTCTGTGGGATCCCAGAAGAGAAGAGCCGTGCAGTTCAGTGTCACAGTGGATCCTATATTTCCATGGAGTCTGTCTTCATTTCGCATAAATTCTGGGTCTTTGGAGCACCGTGACTCTGAGAAAAGACAAACCACTGTTATTAGAATCAAAATACCTTTATTAGTCCCACAGAGGGGACATTTACATAGTTACAGCAGAAAAAGAGCCACAGACAGCTTAATGTTACATATGTTACACATGCATAAAAAAGTATTAAAGTTAAAAAAAAGTTATAATATAATAAAAAATATAATACAACAAATTAAAAGTTACACAAATTACAAAATACACATCCTGTAACAGTTCTTAGGATTGAGCAGCCAGGTATATATTGCACAGTTATTAACGGCATATATATGCGTTGTTGTGTTGTTGAGTGTGTGTGGGGGGGGGGGGTCTACTAGGGCCTGTGCTGGTTGTATAGTCTGACCGCTGCAGGGAGGAAGGACCTGCGGTATCTGTGTTCGCTGTAGGAAACGCAGACAATAGCGTCTTTCATGTGCACAGGCTGAGACTGCAGCTGGAAGGCGAGCTGAAACTAAATGCCTTCTTGTAGGTGTACTCACTCAACTAGCTCCCTAAACCCCCATACAAACGTTATGTCTGGTACAGGGATAACAAGATCAACGTTGGGGGGGGATTACTTTAAAATGCAATTATTTACTGCATTCAAATTGGACAGGTAGTGTTTTAATTAGCTACATAATCAATTGTTTTACAAGAAGAAAAGGACATTTGATTTGAACACCTTTCTATACTTTAAAATCAAACATAGAAAGCACTTTTAAAACATGTCCAATACTTCAATTCAAATATAATCTGGGCTGAGGAGAGATTCTAACAGATCTTTTGGAAAGTTATATATGTGGTCTGTTGCCTCCAAACCCTGCAAGAAATAGCTTACTGTGAGAGCCACATAATTACAGTATCCTGTTCAAATAGCCTCCATTACACTTAAACATAGACGTAGTACTTACTAACTATGAGGCGCGTAGTGAATGAGGATGAGCTGTTGCCCTGCTGCATACAGCTGTAATTCCCCTGGTCTGCCGAGCTGAAGTTGGCAAACGCCAGGTAGGCCTTCCCTTCCATGGATGGCAGCGGCCGGCAGTCTTTCTGCCAGGTCAGGCGGGGCAGGGGGGGGCTCTGGGGCTCCAGAGGGCAGGTCAGCCGGTATGGGGGCTCCTGCTGCCCCACATAGAGCACCTGCTCCTTAAACACGCTCCCATCCACACACGTCTGAGCTACAGATAGAGACACACAGAGCGAGTTCAGAGTCTCCTTCACATTAGAGATGCAACAAGTCACCTTTATCCATCCCAAAACTGATTGTTATATTTCAATTAGGTCAAAACTATTTCAACTAATATCTAATTGTGATTATTTTTGACTGATATTGCAAATGTGATACTATTTAAAGATTCAAGATTCAAAGATTCAAAGATATAAAGGCTTAATTGTCATTTACACAGTAGCTAGATGTGGTGTAGTGTAGATGTGGCGATGAAAATCTTAGGTCCCAGGCTCCTCCAACAATGCAACATAAATATATATAAGTCATAAAACAATAACACTGATTTAAAAACAATAAAATAGTGCAAGAAGAAACAGAGTAGAATAACTGAGTGCAAGATTACTGTATCTTGCAAGACCAATGTTCAAGTAATGCAGATGAAGTAAACTATATATATATGTGTGTCAAAAAAAAGAAATACAATAGGCTAAATGTTTCAGCGAGTGTTGTACTATAAGTGAACATGTTTACCCGTTTTAACCTGTCGGAGGAAATTATCATTTTTGAATCTAATCATTAATGTTATTATCATTGAAAGAAATATTAAAATGTTCACTTTAATATGAGAAAATTGCAGATTACAAATTGCTATTGAACTATTCGCCATGAGCTTTCCTGAATTATAATCAGTACATGAATCAATACAACTGTGTGTGTCGGTCATATCGGGTCAAGGCATAAAAAGGTTTGAATTCATCTCTACTCTATGTTGTGTGATCAAACAATAAGCCTTTGGAGAAAACACTTAGCCTACCGTGTGTCTGTGTTTTGCATACAGCCTGTGCAGCTTCATGAGGCTGAGTTCAGTGTTAGGGCAGCTTTCAGCAATGACTGAGTGTCTAATGGTGCATGAAGGTGAACCTGTTTACACTTTTTGTCAACCTAGCAGACTCTAATGGCTGTTTTGTTGACTTAGATGAAAAGAGAAGATCACTGAATACCGGTTTCTCTTTGAGGACATGTTCCAAGCAAACAACAAGTTAATATCACGCCTAACTGCTCCCTTTTCAGGACAGATGTAAAATACATCCCAGACAATAGAACTAATTCTAACGAGATCTATTGTTCTATTGAATCTGGACCTGTTCTTCAGGATATTCAGCGCATGCGCTCATCGTGCCTATGACTATGACTAAAATCACAAAACACTTGCACAACTTTCCTCCCTGTTTCCTCTCTGTCAAACTTTCGATTTATTCCACCGTTTTTTAACAGTTTTTCATAAAAGGTGACCCACATCCGGGTCCAAAGTCCGTGTCACCTTATGTTGCCAGGCAACAGCATGTGACTGTGACAGATAAAGTGACCCTCACGAACTACATGTGCATTACCTGGTATTTACCCAGCCAGCATCCCGAAAACATGGCTGTCAGTACGTTTTAAATAGACAAAAACAAACCAGGAACAATACATTATAAGTCATAAGTCAAACTAGATTTCTAAATATCGTGTAAACCTGTGAAATCTAAACAAGAGAATAGAGTTTATTGTGTAGGCTACATCCTTACCGTCTGCCAGTAAAGTGTTCCCGGAGAATGCCACAATGCAGGCGACTAAAATCAGAGCCATGAGCCGCAGTGTTCGTCTTCCTCCTTCCTCAGGGGACAGGTGAACCGATTGAAGCGAATTAACTAAACCTCTATGAGTGTACCTGTTGATTTATACAGTTTTGTAACGTTGTACGGAGCCACAGAGGTGACTAACAACAGCCTTCTATATGCACGCACCTGGTAAGGTACCTCAAACTCGACTTGCTATTGGCTGAACTTGGTCATGTGACGTGTGCACCGGTTTACACAAACCTGGGAATGGATAATATTAGGAAATTCTGAAAAGTAGATCTACGTCTATCCCAGTTTCCAGTTTTTCAAGGAAGTTACTCACAACTTTACCCTTAGTAATGTAACAATACAGCAGCCTGAACATTAGTGATGGGAATTATGGCTCTTTGAAGGGAGCCGGATCTTATGGCTCCGTTCCTTTCAAAGAGCCGTTCAAAAGAGCCGTTCAAAAGAGCCGTTTTTTTAAAAAGGGGGCGGGGTTACTAGGTTTATCTGCGAAATAATCACCAGGATAATGATTGACTGCATTGCCAGACCTAATGTCAATAATCTGCATTGTAAACATGACACAAGGTGGCGCCATATCCATGTCATTCATGTCAGTGAATGTACTTTGAATTTACCCTCTGCATGTGTTAAGTAAATAAAGTTGCCTTGCCTTGAATGAAATTCACGCAACTCTTAATATTAGTAGTGTGTTTTTAAGTGGCGATGGAGATTATTTGTTGACCCTGCTTTAAAGGATATTTTGCCTTTACAAATGGTGCGCTTTATCACTGCCTGGGTTTTGGTTGAAGTGCATCCAAATGCTGCTGCGTTTTCGCGTTTGGCTCATTTTACATCCGAAAAACACGTCGTCTATCTGTCCAGTACCACTTGTTATGACTTCTCTCTCTCGCGTATTCCGTTAAGACCCACCCCACCTAACTCCTCGTGCTGAAACCTACAAATCAGAGTAGGGGCGGGTCTTCACAGAATACGTTTGGGGAACAAAATCAAGCTTTTTAAAAGGCGAGTGAATTTTGGCAGGCAGTGAGTGCGGACCAACTTTGATTGAACGATAAGAAGAACGGCTCTCACCAAGTACGACTCGGTTCCCCTCGTTCGTACCAAAGAGCCGTTCAAAAGAATCGGCTCGTTCGCGACCGACACATCACTACTGAACATTCTTCATTACATGTTAAAGCCCTGAATTTAAACTTTGTTTTAAAGAAAACTATAGATTTATCAGCAACGTTTCTCAGAGGAGTAAACATTCAAAATTACTCATTATGAAGATTGGCTCCCATATTATTATAAAATATTATTATTTGGGGTCAATCTGGCAACCCAAATGATGTCATTATTATTGGTTATAACATATCCATGAGGCATTAGTAATATTTCTGTTTACCATTAATAAGGTTACAACTTATGGGACTTTATAATAGTCGTAGAGTGATAAACTAAAACATTTTCACAATTGATCCATGTATTTGATGTTCAAACTGCATTTTTAAGGTATTTTTCAAATTCCCAGAAATACATTTTTTGTGAAAAAAACATGTGGTTGTATCGTGTGATATTGAAACTAAGGCTTACTATCCGCCCTTAAAAGAAACCATGGCGTGACACAAAGACAACCCTGTCATGATTGTAACTATCACAGAAATAATACTGTATTTACACTTGAATCTTGCTGAAAAATAGATACAGTAGACATTACAGAATATGAGGCCAAATGTTTCCTCTTTTATTCAATAATATAAAATATTATAATGCAAAAACATTCTTGTGTCTGCTTCACAAAAGACACCACCATTATTTGTCTGCAGTAAAGGCAATCATCACATCGCTTGTTTAAAATATAAGGCAACAATGTAACACATAATCGGTACTGTATGTGCCGTAGCAGTATAAATTATCATTAGGCTTTTCTTAAAAACACTCACATGCGTCTCACAAATAAAGAGATCCAATAGTAAGCTATCAGTGCATTCATACAATCCAATAAGAACAATCTCATCATCAGTAAAATTGGTCACCGTCATAGACTGTATATACACTGTCCACTGGTTTCATCCAAGAAAAATGAGTCTGTCTTCAAAGTCCATTTCAGAGATGAGGATCCAGATAGGCAGCACTTAACATTTGGCTGCAAAAAATGTAAAGAGAGTGCGAGCCCTCCTTCTGAACTCTTCAGAGAGATGATTAATGCCTTTGGCGTTGACTCAATTCTGTGACAGTCTGGACACTTTAATGGCAACACTGTGCTCATGTCCTCAGAGAAAATGTGTAACCTTTAAGGGTGGTCTGAACGAAGTCGGGCTTGAAATGAACTGTGAGAAATAAAACAAGGGTTGGTGAGTTGCAGCAGAAAAATAATTGTGGTCACAACACTGGAAAGCAAATCTTTAAAAACGTCTAATATATACTAGTAGTATATAATGCACACATTATTTGAGTTACAAAATAACTAAAGTCATCATTTGGGATATTAGGGTTCAGTTAAATTATAAACCATTACATTTGAGTGGAATATTTATGTCAATGTATACCTCTTATGACGCATTAATGTAGAGTAATACTGGCTGTAAGTATATCTATCGCACTGCAATTTATTTTTAGTTCAGAAACTCTTAAGACGTAACACTGTTACATGCAAGTGCTTATGTGGTGGTAACAGTTTCAAGTGTCAGGTAGAAATGTTTTAATGCACTGGTTCCCACAAGTTGGAATGTCTGTTGAAAAAAATGAAAATCATTTGTGAGCCTGATTTATTTAATCTGATTCATCTTAGCTACATAAATATATATATATATATATATATATATATATATATATATATATATAGACAGACTTTTTTCAGCTTAATAAGTACAGTGGAGATGCTAATCCACAATACACAAAAGGCAAATTCAAAATACAAAGAAGCCTTTTTCTTCTCCTGCGATTACTGCAAATGTAGCGGGAGCAACTTGTGTCTTTTGTGTGTTAAAACTGGTAATGATGTGTTACGTCATGGACCAACCCAACCGACGTAATAAGATCAGTATTATCTCAAATAGGGATCAAGTTTATGATTGGTGAATGCGTAGTTAGGGCACCACAGAAAAAGGTTGAGAATATTTAAATAAAATCCTAAAAGGCTCATGTAATATTCTTTATATGAGCCTGATTTCTCTTTTTTTACAGTGTAACTTCACACTGCTTAAGACTCACCTGAGTTCCTCTTTCAGTCTCTTGAGTTTATCAAAGAGCCGCTCATTCTTCACCTGCAAGGGAGCACTCGGCACAAACCATGCTGCAATGAACTTGCATATGACGACAACGTGCTGAAAACAGAGAGTATTTTAGGAATGTTATCATCTTTCCTCTCAATGAATAGGTGGTTTCATTAAAGATAAGATAACACACCCGGATTTAGTTATTGCCTAGATAATGGTTGCGTAAACATGTTTTTCTTCGAGTGTCAAAGCTGAGACTTTATAATGGGCCACGAGCCAAAAGCAACCTTTTGTATTGTTTTGAATCATTACGATACAAGAATGCCAAGTTCCCTTTTTGTCTGTGTGCCACTGTCTCTGCCCCTCCAGGGGACCACTTTGGGCAGCCCTGGCCTAGATCGATACTGTCAATCAAAATACATTCACAGTGTGCTGGGATGACTTTGTGTGTATTCTATTGGTTGCTTCTACTGTACAGAAAAACTGCTCAAAGAAATCAAAGTAGGAAGATGAGGTTAGTGTTTTTGGTTATGGTTAAATCTCACCTCAAACAGGATGACAAAAGCGAAACGCACAGCTAGAATTAACCAAAACTGTGGGGTTAGATTGTAGTCCTCATTGCTCCTGTAGTCTTTATACCTGTTTGAGAGAAGTAGACAAGAAAAGCAGGCTTTTATATCCAAAGAAAAGGGAGATTTTATATAAGAACAAAAAAGATATAAGAATAACAAACCTGCAAGAAGTTACATTCAGGCCACTAGTAGTGATCATCTGACTGGCCGAAAACTCATTGCGTAAGTTTAGATCATCTAAATGTGCAACGGAGAGAGTGTTGTTGATGTATCCGGACATGCAGCTGGAAAAAAACGAATATAGAGAGAATATATTTAAAGTGTGTCGCATGAGTTGACAGAATAAAACATTTTCTAGAAGTACTCTTACTCAATATCTGCTTCTGTGCCGTTAGCACATGGGCCGTAGCGGTAACGATAAACCAATCGAGGGATGAAATCTGATGACACGCCGATGACTAGCCCGTTAGCAATGACCGCTAAGACACCAATAGCCTCCAACACGTCTATCCACACACCTGAGGGAAGAAAAGGTTGATGTGATGAAAATGTAATCAATTTATTTCGATTTAATTCATTTTATTCACAAACAAGTAAAATAATAAGACATAATAGAGAAGTGTGAAATGGGACACCCCGATAAGCTATCCGAAGCTTAAGAGGCACAGACACTGAACAGAGAGCATTTTAAAATGATCTTTCTAACACATCTAAAGTTGAAACAATGTTGTTTTATTACACCAAAATATTTACAACCTACAAAACACCTAACACGCCAACAACATTTACACTTCCAGTTTGAAAGTGGTGCTCACCAATATCGTTGGTTTTCTTGGGGACCAGCCTGCGCTCCAGAGTGACCATTTTAATGGCGTCCAGGCGGATCTCAATGATGTTGTTAATGAGGGCGAGCAGAGGGGCGAGAGGAAACGCTGCCACAAATATGGTGGTAAAGCTGAATTGGATCACTAAGGAAAGGGAGAGAAGAATATTATTAATGAAAACCAGTCTAGCATTTGTCCAATGGGTCCTGTTTTTGTTGTTAAAATTGTATGCATACTACAGTACATACCCATCTCCAGGAACTCATGGAACAGGCTGAAGGAGTCCACGTCGTTGAGGCGGTAGTTGCTGAGCCAGTCTCGAAGCTTGCAGTTTTCACACAGCTCCGCTCCATGGTTGACCTCTGAATCATCCTTCAGGTAGCAGTGGGCACATTTCCTCTGCAGCTTCTTGGTTTTCCTCCTCTTAAACCACCTGCAGAACCAGCTGAACAGAGAGACACAGCTAGTTGAGAAGAGTGAATAATAACGTTTTATACAGTATATAATCTAAAATCAGATTTATACTTACGGGCCAGTAAACTCAAAGACATTGCTAATGGTTTGTTTAAGGACCATTATAA